ATATACAGCAGCAGCAGGCGTCAGGGTCGGGATCGGGATCGGGATCGAACCCACGACCTCCTGCGTACCAGGAGAGGTAGTTAACATCTCCTAGCCACCGTGATGATGATGAGAGAGAGACACGCAAACTCCAAATATACAGCAGCAGGCGTCAGGGTCGGGATCGAACCCACTGACCTCCTGCACACCAGGCGAGAGATATGACATCTCGCCACCGGGACGCCCCAATATACCCAGAACCTACGAAGTTACCTGGTCCTCCTCAGAACCTGCCCTGAACCCAACCTGACCCCTGCCCAGCAGTGTTCGTTAACCCGTCTGTGTGGACCGTCAAGTGGTATCCCCTCGTGCGCGAGGTGGCGGTCCCTCCGTGCTCTCCCCGAGCTTCCTCCTGCCATGCAAAGGGGAACCGCTGCTGCCCGCGGCAGGACCCTCACAAACAACGGGTCTCGAGACTCGGTGGTTAAATAAAGGACTCTGTGTGTGTGCGCGTGTGTGTGCACGTGTGTGTGCACGTGTGTACACGTGTGTGTGTGCGTGTGTGTGCACGTGCGTGTGTGTGCACGTGTGTGTGCGCGCGTGTGTGTGCGCGCGTGTGTGTGTGTGTAAAGTAGTAACTCGGCAGGAGACGACTTCACGGGTAGCACACTCTTTATTTTCACCAACTTATAGTTACACGGATGACTAACACCCACTTCGTTGCACGGGTGACTAACACCTCACTCAGCTACTCGGGTGACTAACACCCACTCGGCTACCAGGGTGACTAACACCCACTTAGCTACTCGGGTGACTAACACCCACTCAGCTACACGGGTGACTAACACCCACTCAGCTACACGGGTGACCAACACCCCCCCTTAGCTACTCGGGTGACTAACACCCACTCAGCTATACTGACACGGGCTCTTACGCCCCGTAGCCTTCCGGGACACACCCAGCCGGGGTGCCCGTCTCGGCTCTGGGTACCACCGTCCCGACCCACACGGGCGTCGGACTACGGGTCCCCCAGTCTCGGCTCCGAGCCACACAGGGCCCCGGTCCCCACAAGGACGGCGGGACTAGGGGTCTCGGGCCACTACCTCCTCCACCCCGTCTTCGGTCTTCAACTGGTTAACACTGACCACGAGTGCTCTCGCGCGTCTCCCTTTATACCCCTCCTGCGGACGTCGCTGAGAGCACCCATCTTATCTGACCAATCACTGCGCACTCGCTACGATCCTCTTTTCCCAGCTTGTGTCAGCGCGCCTTACCACCCGCGCGCGCGTCCATACCACGCCCACATCGCGTGCCCAACCCCGCGCCCCGTGATCCATCACTGTCGGCGCACGTCAATACCACCACTACATCACCCCCTACCACATAGCTCGCAGCCGACCCGGCTGCTAATAAAATATACAACACCCCTTCACCCCCATGTGTGCCCCATAACATAACAACAAACCCTAACAACACAACATGAACACCCCAATCCGCAAAACCCAGCAACCGACACACCCACAACAAGAACAATATGCACAATCCGGCGAGTGGCAATGACAATGTGTATGCGGAAAGAGTAACAATAAAAAAACATTTCTTTATTAATTTTCTCTTCTTTTCTCTCCGACACGTGCAGCGTCCCAATCTGTCCGAGCGTCCCTTGAACGGGACATTACTCCGGCAGAGGGGGAACCCGGCGGCGAGGTCGGGTTTTAACCAAAAAAATATTTTTTTTTTTTTCATGAAAAGTGTTGCGTCCTAGCCCGAGTCCGCCTTGCCGGTCCGTCGTACGGCACCAGACGCAGTTGGCCATCCGGTGGCGCCGGCAGTTCAGGAAGGCATGGGCCAGGCATCGGGGCTCCGCGCGAGCCGCGGGGTTCCGGTTCCCGACGGTCAACAGCCGTCAGGTCCGAGACACCGGGTTCAGCTGGGATGTCTTGAGGCCCTGGTCGTCGTCCGGACGTGGTCCCGCGGTGCGTTGACGCGGGGCCCGGCACCCGGACGCGACGTGGCCCCGAAGGCCGCAGTTGTAGCAGACGACGAGGGACGTCGCAGGTTTCGGTTGCTCCAGCTTGCGAGAGGAACGTGTGGGCGAACGACCTCCCGTTCTCCACTCCCCCGGCCTTGAACCAGTGAAGGCCTCCTCCCGAGGCACAGCAGGCTGAGGTCCGATGATCGTGGCGGCCGGTGCCCCGTTCTCCACCGATGCGCAGACGACCGTCGGCTTCCGCTTTAGGACCTCGTAAGCGTGAATACTCGTGGCAATCCCCAGGGAGCAGATGTCCATTTCGTCCGCCGTATTAATGGGAACTCCCAAACTGTGAGCCAACGCCAGCAGCTGCTCCGTCACCATGGCGTCCTTCCCCTCCTTGTCTATGCGGGAAAAAGCTGAGTCCGCCAGGGCGAGCAGCGCCGTGCGATAGGCGAGCGTTGTTTCTCCGACCACCTTCCGCCGATCGTAGAACTGGTGGCGACAGGTCGAGGGTGGCCCGAACACTTTGGCCATCAGGTGTAGCGCGGCCTGGAGCGTTGAGCAGGACGACCTCGGGGCAGACGTGAAGGCCGCAAGCGCGTCGTCGTCGAGCATCGCTGGCAGCGCGCGCAGGGCAGTGGTGTCGGACCACCCCGACATTTCTTGATGCGCGATGAACCGTCGCTGGAAGGCTCCCCAGTCGCCCCCGTCCGCCTTGAACACCGACAGCGCGGGCAATCGTTGCTGGAGGACTCGATCGTCGTCGTCGTCGTTGGAACGATTTTCCCGCGCGCCGCTGTGGTTGTAGAAAATGTCGGCTCCGTCTGCAGGCGCAAAATGGAGAGCTCCGGCGCTCGCCGATGACGCGGGCTGCGCTGTGTGGAGATCTCTGGCCACGTGGTGTCCGCGTTTCCCACCAACCGGTGGCGGACCCTCAAAAATGGCGCCAACTCCAAAACTTTTGGCGCGAAACGCCTTATGGCGGGATCCCTCCAGCCGCGCCGCCTCCTCCAACCCCGCAGCCGTTCCTCCGCCCGCTGAAACGGAGATCTCCGCCAAGATCGCAGCGGCGGCGAGCAGCAACTCCGCCAGGCGGGAGTGTGCGTCCTGCAGGCTGGTGTCGGAGGCAAGCGGAGCATCGGCCATTTCTGCGAAGTGCTGCATCGGCGGCAACTCCTCGTCCTCTCCTCCCGAGGGTGGTGTCTCCGGTACGCCGTCGTCTCCCCGATCTTGCACGTGGGAACGAGAAGTCTTCCTTGTGTCCATTCTCCTTGAAGACAGGTTTACTTCTGACACCAGTTGTAAAGTAGTAACTCGGCAGGAGACAACTTCACGGGTAGCACACTCTTTATTTTCACCAACTTATAGTTACACGGATGACTAACACCCACTTCGTTGCACGGGTGACTAACACCTCACTCAGCTACTCGGGTGACTAACACCCACTCAGCTACCAGGGTGACTAACACCCACTTAGCTACTCGGGTGACTAACACCCACTCAGCTACACGGGTGACTAACACCCACTCAGCTACACGGGTGACCAACACCCCCCCTTAGCTACTCGGGTGACTAACACCCACTCAGCTATACTGACACGGGCTCTTACGCCCCGTAGCCTTCCGGGACACACCCAGCCGGGGTGCCCGTCTCGGCTCTGGGTACCACCGTCCCGACCCACACGGGCGTCGGACTACGGGTCCCCCAGTCTCGGCTCCGAGCCACACAGGGCCCCGGTCCCCACAAGGACGGCGGGACTAGGGGTCTCGGGCCACTACCTCCTCCACCCCGTCTTCGGTCTTCAACTGGTTAACACTGACCACGAGTGCTCTCGCGCGTCTCCCTTTATACCCCTCCTGCGGACGTCGCTGAGAGCACCCATCTTATCTGACCAATCACTGCGCACTCGCTACGATCCTCTTTTCCCAGCTTGTGTCAGCGCGCCTTACCACCCGCGCGCGCGTCCATACCACGCCCACATCGCGTGCCCAACCCCGCGCCCCGTGATCCATCACTGTCGGCGCACGTCAATACCACCACTACATGTGCACGTGTGTGTGCACGCATGTGTGTGTGTGCGCGTGTGTGCACGTGTGTGTGTGGGGAAACTTCCAAGCCGGTGGCTCAGCAGTAGCGCCGGCGGCTGGTTGGCGGTGAACTCGGCCCATCACCACCCCTGCCGCCGGGGTCGATAAAACGAGTAACCACTTTGTGGGGGAAGTTCCAAGAGCAGTTGACCGATGGAGAGACTCGCCCCCCCCTACCCTTCGTCATAAGAATGTGGAATTTCCACCACCGCAAGAGTTGATCTCCAATGATCAATGCGTGTGCGCTGCTAATGACATGCATACACGCCACGTGGTCTCGCCGTGTATCATGTGTATATACCCCGCTATTAAAAAAAAATGTTAACACTTACATGGACTATCGTTTTTAATAGGTTAAAGAACGGATAATAATACGGCGTAACACGATAACAAATGTATGTTCATAACTTCAAAAGGCCATCATTGTCAACGCGTGCCTGGAATCTTGTCCAGGTGGTATCCAGAGCCCGGAGGCCCATTCCTCGTGGTGTCGTTGCGCCCTGCTGCACGTAGACTGCGCGTGCCACTGCAGCGCCGCGGGTGACATCAAGACGTTCAGTGCCATGGGTTTTGCGAGCGCCAACGTCGCGAGAGATGAATCCATTGGGGAAAATCTCGCAGAGTTGGAGGTGGGCCCGCGAAAGCGGATGTCACAGAACTACGACTGAGAGATCTCTTCTCTCCCCCATCGAATCCCGGGCCGCTCTGCCACCGCGAGTAGAGTTTGGCGCACGGCGGCCAAACTGGCTTCTGTTCTGATGATGATGATGATGGTCGTGATGATTGTGATTATAATATTAGCGATGATTGTGATGGCAGTGATAATGATAGTGATAATGGCGATTGTGATTAGGATGACTAATTCACAATCACCATTATGAGTGCGATCATGATTGTGATTAAGATCATAGTGTTGCTGATTTTGATTATGATGATTGTGATTATGATGGCAGCGACGATCGTGACGATGTCGATTGTATATATGATAGTAGTGATGATCGCGAAGACGATGATAATGTAGTGTGCTAAATCACAGACACTAGTAGGAGGTACTTTCTCTCTTTTATTCCGGCCTTCACAGCCTTAGGGGATAACCACACACCAGATCGGGACAGCCAACATGCTGACAGACCCACAGCTTCAAGAGGGCGAAGATCGCGACGGTGACGATCGCGACGACGAAGATAACGACGAGTTCCACTCCAGATCGCAGCAGCCCCGACTGTGAGTTGGAGCTCCGCCTTTTATCCTGCCCAGCGTGGCAGGCTCCGCCCTCGCCCAGGCTCCGCCCTCTGGATCCCTCAGGTGGCTCCGTGCCTTGCCCACAGGTCCAACTGGTAGAACAGCGGCACGCGCTACAGTGACTCATTCCATGTCACTACAATAATATGGCTTATCAAAATCAGTAAATGCACCCATGCAATTCTTAGATGAGTGTGCGTATGTATTGCGTGTGTGTGTGTATTAGACGTGTGTGTGTGTGCACAAGCATCGTGGTGACGTCACTGCCACTTAATGGCGAATGGCGGTTGTTGTTGTTGTTGTTAAGTAGCGTTGGTCGGCCTCGATCTCCCAGCCACCTTCGACACCATCGAGCACGAGACACTCATCGGGAGGCTAAGGTCAAGGTTCGGCGTGTCGGGTACGGCACATGAGTGGATCGAGTCGTGCCTACGTGGTCGATCACAGTTCGTCAAGCTGAGTGACGATCAATCATCGTCTGTGCCGTGCCTCGTCAGCATACCGCAGGGATCCGTCCTCAAGCTCTCATTTTCAACAAACGTCTCTCCGATGGCCGATGTCATCTCATGGCATGACATCAAGTTCCATCGATATGCTGATGGTAACACAATTGAACACCGCGGTCTGCACCAAACGAAACGCTGCTTCATCCAGAACAGTTCCGAGGTTCTGTTGTTTGGCACTCGGGTTCAGGCGAAACAAGTTGTGGGAGGATCGCGTGTGGCGGTCACGCAAACTATCGTCAGGCCCTGCAAGTTTCATATTAGGGCTCCTCCAGTCTGTTAAGGCACTATTGAGTCGTGACATACAGTGAGGGAAAAAAGTATTTGATCCCCTGCTGATTTTGTACGTTTGCCCACTGACAAAGAAATGATCAGTCAGTAATTTTAATGGTAGGGTTATTTGAACAAAAAAATCCAGAAAAACGCATGTCAAAAATGTTATAAATAGATTGGCATTTTAATGAGGGAAATAAGTATTTGACCCCCTCTGCAAAACACGGGGACGTCTGGCCAACACGACCAAGCTGCAGCGAGTACAACATTCTCTGGCGCGGGTCGTGACGGGGAACTGCAGGATCCCACCGCGTCGTGCCCAGTGCTCGCCAAGCTGCATTGACTTCCAGTTGCCGAACGAACCCTTTGTCAGCTGCCACTCGCTGCGCACAAAGTGCTTGCCACAAATGAACCACGACCCCTCGGTGATCTCGTCAAGGAGGATAAACCATCATCACGCCCATCAAACAAAGACGGCGGTGGTCACCGCATCGCGCGACGCTTTCAGATGCGCTTCTGTGGCCGTCTGGAACGTTCTTCCCCTTCCGATATGAGGAAGCCACTGGGAGCTGTGATGCACTTTTAAATCATCATCATCGAGGTTGACAAACTCACTTATTGAGAACATTTTTTTTGTGTTTAGTTTGTTGTCCTTCCCAGGCACCTCCGATTAGCTCGGTTGGCTACGTACGGTGTGAAAAGTGTTCAACATACGTACGTACAAGTATGTACTAACAATATATTAGCAGAGGTCTCACTCCCAATTAATAGGGTGGCATTATATTTTCATCGGCTGCGTAATGGTGTATGCAAGCTACCTGGTATGTCGCTCCACACGAAGCTTCGTGTCTTCCCGGCCACAGTCATGCCCGCCCTTCTCTACTACGCTTGTGAAACGTGGGCCCCTCCCTAAGGGAACATCTGCGCCGGTTAGAAACATTCAAGCTGGCCTGCCTACGATCCATCACGGGATTAACCAGGCTGGATTGTGTGAGGAGCTCACAGATCCTTGAAAGATCTGGACACATTCTCATCAATGAGCTCCTCCGGCAGGCAAGGCTGCGTTGGCTGGGCCATGTAGCCCGCATGCCCAGCCACCGCATGCCCCAAGCAGCTTTTGTTTGGCCGGATCGAGGGGGCGAAACGGGCACGGCACGGGCTAGAGAAGAGAGGGAGTGATGTGGTACAGGAGGACGTGGAGCTGAGTGGACTTGCCCAAGACTGGTACCAGCGGTGTCAAGATCGACCTCTGTGGAGGAAGCTCGTGAAAGACGCTGCTGAATCGGTCATGGGCCTCCCCTAGGTCGACTCAGGCTCAAATAAGTACCTGGTGCGGTGTGCAACCATCACCGCTGGGGAGACAAAGGCGGCCGGGCGTGGTGTTGGCCACCCACCCCCTCGTGTGCCGGCCTTAATATGTGCTCGCGAATAATGATAGCACTTGTCCCACCACTATGGTAAGGCTATACGGGGGTTCTTTGTTGTGTTGTGTGTGTGAGTGGGGACAGCACTTCTTACGTAAGACGCCAGAGGGGCCTAGCTGGGGGAGAAGGGAGGGGCCGCGGGGGAGGGGAGGGGCTGGCTGGGCACGAACCCTCTTCACCCCAGCGCGCGCTCTCTCCTCCACCACGTGGTTACCTGTTTAGACAGACACACACCTACACACACACACCTATACAAGAGAAAGAATGCCTGTATAGCCTGGAACAGACTGTTGGGGCAAGTGCTGTTAGCGAGCACCTATGAAGGCAACATACCTGCATACACACACATACACCACGTCTCTATATACATAAAAAGACAAAGATCCCCCGTATAGCCTGTAACAGACTGTTGGGGCAAGTTCTGTTAGCGAGCACCTATGAAGGCTGGCACGGCACACGAGGGGGTGAGTGGCCAACACCACGCCCGGCCGCCTTTGTCTCCCCAGTGGCGATGTTTACTACACAGGTACTCAGTTGAGGTTGAGTCGACCTAGGGGAGGCCCAGGACCGGCTCAAATAATTATCACTGATGTTTTCCGTGAACAGGATTCGTAGCGCAGCGCGCTAACCGCTACACTACTGCTCACACACACACCTATACATACACACCCCGATATACACACACACTTACACCCCGATACACACAACAATCACCATTCGCCCCGAAGTGAGAGTGACGTTCCCACGGCGCCTGTGCCACGCTAGGTGCATTTTGAGGCCACATGGAGTGTCAGAGTTGACAGGAGGTCACGGAACAGACCCAGGTGCCATCGGTTGACTGACCGAGATGACTGGCTGATGCACCACCTGTGCCCCCTACTATACCAACTGGCTCCACTCGTTGTGAGCGTCGCTGTTGTTGGAGGGCGACTGCCTCCAACTGCCCAGCAGCAGCGTCCTTCACGAGCCTCCTCCACAGAGGCCGATCTTGACACCGCTGGTACCGGTCTTCGGCAAGTACAATCAGCTCCTCATCCTCCCGTACCGCATCACTCCATCCAGTGCCGGATTCTCCTAGTAGCAACAGTCGCATATGCTACGGGCCCCGCATTTTCAGGGGCCCGCGCTAAATGCGTTCAAGCTATTAATTCAGATTCAGTGATTCTGCACTTGCTCTATTACTATAGTACTATACTACCGTCAACTTTTATGAACGACTGGGTGTTTAAGGTTAGCGTTTTGTCGTATTACCTGGCTGTATAGCAAATGAAAAAATACAATTACTATACTATGCAAGTACAAAATGTATGTGTTTTAATATTTACGTTATTTTTTATTTTTTAGGACCCCTTTATAACATATGCTACAGGCCCCGCACTAGCTTCATCCGGCACTGAGCCCATCTCATCTCCAGTCCATGTCGTGTCCGTTTAGCCCCCTCTATCCGGCCAAACAAAATCTGCTTGGGCAGCATGTGGTGGCTGGGCATGCGGCTACGTGACCCAGCCAACGCAGCCTCGCCTGCCGGAGGAGTTCATTAAATGGGAAGGTGTCCAGATTTGTCAATAATATTTGAGCTCCTCACACAAGCCAGCCTAGTGAAACCCAGAATGGATTGTAGACAGGCCAGCCTTAATGTTTCAAACCGTCGCTGATGTTACTTAAGAGGGGTCCAGGTTTCGCAAGCATTGAGAAGGGAGGTTACAATTGGCATAGATCAGGTAACTTCCACACAGCGTTACACAGCCGATGAAAATATGATGCCGCTCAACTAATTTGGAGTGAGACCTCTGCTGCCGAACCGGAGCAGGTCATAAGCAATTACAAGGTTATCAGCTTACATAACATGGTTGACCTATAAATAGGGAGCTATATCTTGACCACACCCGAGCATTGATCAACCTGCCATTGTATCTGTACCAGATGTACATTCCTCTCGTACAGCTGCAATAGAAGGCTTCACGAACTATGTGGTAAAAAAACTATGTTAATTAATGTAGGCGCCAGAGGACATTCCTATCATACCCCAAGGTGAACAGCGAATGAATGGCTTCGACTACCGGGCCACACAGATTTGCCTAGGCCCGTTAAACATACAATATACCACATATGGTCGAGATACATACATCATGACGATCCTTAATGATTGTGAACAGAGGATTATGATACTGACCAGGTCAATAAAGCATAGGTGGAGGTCTTCTTGCATTCGCTACACCTCTCCTGTAGCAGAATGACAGAGACGATGGCGTCTGTGCCGACCCAACTCGTCCTAAAACCAGATTGAGGCTCTATAAGCCTCTCACCTACACACAAAGACAACGATTACCCATATCGCTTTTAACATTCTTTAGGACCAAGTGCTGTTCTCGAGCACCTATTGAGGCTGGCATGGCACACGAGGAGGTGGGTGGCCAGTCGCATGCCAAATCGCCTTCATCTCCCCAGGTACTCATTTGAGGCTGAGATGAAACCGTGGCAGCCGCAGAGACAAGAGCGTCCAATTACCCCAGCGCCGCTGGTGACCGAGAGTTAGGAGAGGCTGGAGGGACGCTTCAACCGCCTCGTGGATGCAGCCTCTGGGCTCGTGTCACAGCTCGCCGAGAAGGAGTGGAGACCGGGAGCTTCAGAGACGATGATGGGTCTTGCAGCGGCGGACGGGGCGAGAAGAACTTTGCCCGTCAGGATGATCGCAGGAGACACTTGCGGTGCCGTGAGGACAGCGGACGGCCAGAACATTGGTCGGTGGAGCCATCCCGCTGACTGCCGCGGGGACCGGGGAGCCAGGGACGCTCGGCTGAGCAGCAGTTGCGGCGGCTATGACACGGCAGACCTCACCGGATGGAGCTGGTTAAAGAGTTAGTATAAAAACAATACGTGCAAAAGGCAGTGCACAACATGCTCGCCGCGAAGACCATTTCTCAGTCCACTATCGCTTGGGGGGCTCCTGCTGTGTTAGTTAAAAAGTCTAATGGAAGTCTGCGTTTTTGCATGCATTTTCGTCGCCTTAACAAGGTTACACTAGCTGACGCACGCCCGCTCCCATGGATTTATGATTCCTTAGACGCCTTTTCTTGAGCATTTTTCCCCACGTTGAACTTGTTGGGATTTTGGCAACTGCCCTTGGACGAGTCCTCAAAGGCTAAGACCGCGTTTCGTACACCTCAAGGATTGTACCATTTTAACTTTCTCCCGATGGGACTTTAGACAGCGTCTGCTACGTTTCAAAAGTTGATGGAGTTGGTTCTTGCAGGATTGCAAAGGGACTCTTTGCCTTATTTATCTGGATGATGTCATCGCCCTCGGTCTCACATTTGATGGGCATTTCCAGCGACTCCACGCGGTATTATCCAGAGTGCACACAGCCAACCTGAAATTGAAACCATATGTCACCTGATTCAATCGTCCGCATGATTTTTGGACCACGTTGTGAGCCCGTAAGGTGTGTGTGCGGAATATGCCGACCCCGAAATCGATGATGTACGTAGCTTTGTTGGCTTCACGTCGTATTATCTCGGTTTGTCCCGAAATTTGCCACAATGGCGAGGCCCTTTCACGCGTTGATGGTGAAGAACCAAAAGTTTCAGTGGTGGGCTGAGGAGGAAACTGCTTTCATAATGCTGCGTGATCGTCCCACAGAAGCTCCACCCCTGGTATACCCGGACTTCTCCCTGCCCTTCATCCCAGACACAGGCGCCGGTGTTCTGGGGATAGGGGCTGTCCTCTCTCAGGTGAAGGACGGGGTCTAAGTCATCATTGCCTATGGTAGTCGCGTTCTTTCGCCAGCTGAGCAGCGTTATTGCGTAACTCACCAGGAATCACTATCAATCGTGCACTTTGTGCAGCAATATAGACCTCACCTGTATGGCCGAAAATTCACAGTTTCCACCGATCACGCCACCCTGCAGGACTCCTTACGCATAGATCAGCCGTCGGGCCAGTTGGTGCGCTGGCTAGAAAAATTGCAGGAGTATTTCTACAAAATCATACATCGGAAGGGCCTAAAGCATGGCAATGCTGACACGGTGTCACCTCGCGAAGACCTGTGTGCGTGTGCATCGGGCGCTGGCCGATGCACACGCACACGGTTCCGGAGGCGCCGGCGACGGTAGCGTCAGTACAGCCTGCGGAGCCGCCGGCAGACGAGCCGCGCTGGGACTATCCATACAGCTGCGGGTCGCAAACGGGTTTTGATTCCTTACCCGTACCCGGCCGCACCAGGGTCGCAAACGGGTACCCATACCCGGCCGTACCCGTACCCTACCCGTACCCGGCTGAGTACGGGTAGGGTACGGGTATCGGGTACCTGATTGCGACCTCTGGGATGAAGCCATGTTGCAGGCGCGGGTGGGTTGATTCTAGGAACTTGAATTGTGATAGGAAACAAGACGTTGGGAATCGAGTGATAAACAGTTACTCAAAAGTGACTCACGGTCTACCCGTACCCGGCCGCACCAGGGTCGCAAACGGGTACTCGTACCCGGCCAGGTACGGGTAGCCGGGTATCGGGTAGGGTACGGGTATTGGGTACCCGGTTGCGACCTCTGCCATACAGCTGCCGGTTGATGACGCCAGACTGCTACCCTTGCGCCACTGGGTAAATGGAGACCAATCCGCGTCAGCCTCCCTAGTAGGGTCTCAGTTTGTGCTGCACAGGGGGTTGCTGATGTGGTGGGATGTGATCGCTCGCCAGTGATGTCTGGTGGTGGCCACATCTCTGCGAGGCAGGTTGACGTGGGAGGTCCATGTGTAATAGATGTCGATCTCCGTTGTCCTTTATTGGGTTCGTTGAATCTCGATACCACGGCGTCTCGCTCGGGCCCACGTCCCACTCGACGACCTCTCCACAGCCCTCGGCTGCTCCGTTGTGCAGTCTCCCTGCTGCTCCAATATGCAGTCTCCCTGCTGCCCCTTCCACAGCTAGCCTCTCACTGCCCCGTTAGCGCTCTTCGTCTGACACCGATGGCTGTCGGTGTCGACGTCTCCCACCGCGTGGCGACCGCGCCACCCTCTCCGTCTTGCCCAGCGTGGCCTCCTCGTATTTCACTCCGTCTCAACTCTCCCTTCCCCTTCCGGTTCTCTCCCTAAATCCTCTCCCCCACGTGACCCTAACTCCACCCACTCCCCACGTGACCCAGACTCCGCCCCCCCCCCCCTCAATCCTTGCTTGCATTACACATGCAAACTACAGCATCTAGGGTGCTGTTGAGGAAATACATTTCTCTTGGTGGGAGTCGAGCATTTTACGAGTTGGCCAATGTCCTAGCCGCTGCCTGACCAAACGGCCGCAACAATTGCTGATGCATTCCTTCACGGATACTAGGGACCACATTTTTCATCAAAACTCCTACAGGAGGTGTGGGAGTCGCTGGGCACAAAGGTTTGCACTTCCCTGTACCACCCTCAAATGGATGGTGTGGTGGAACGACTGAATAAAACCCTAACAACAAACCAACTGAGATCTCCATATTCGGGGGGACTTGGCAGACTATAGGCTGGCCCCACATGCCTCCACGGGGTTTTCTCCCTTCTATCTCATGTACGGCCATGAACCTGAACTTCCCATAGAGACGCAGCTGGGTAAGCCTCCTACAGGTGTGTCCGATCGGCCTGCGTCCTTGCAGGTCACGCTCGACCAATTGCTTTAAGCGCAGACAACGGCAATGGTGAACATCGTGACAGCACGGGCTGCTTACAAGCGAAATACACTGCGGCAGGTTCGTGCACTTCCCTGGGTGGTGGGCGACTAAGAATGGTTGCGTTGCCCGCAGGTCCCATTACGAACCTCTCCCACATTTACATCGGCCGTGGCAGGGTCCAGTCGAAATCAACTAAGTGAATTGGCCGCAATGTGTGCGCATTATTCTTAAGTTGCAGTGCAGCACGTGTCTCACTCGTTCTGTCGCAGCTGCTTCGCTCTGCTCGCCTCCCGCCGCAATGGCACTCACTCTCTCTCCGCCTCGCCGCTGCCTGGTGGCGTGTCGGAGAGAGGGGAGGCTCTGCTGGTGGAGCCCGCCACGTGGCTGATGGTGGTAGCGCAGGCGGTGACGACGTTGAGACAACAGGCTCTTCACACCGACGACCCAGAATCCCTTGCTCCTTCTCCTTATATCCCTCTCGGCGGGGCTAGGCCCCGCCTCTAGCCACGCCCATCTCGGAACCTTCTAGAGGGCTCTCGAGGCTTCCCGCTAGCTCCGCCCATTTACCTTTCACCCAGATGGGATCCCCCATTCTGATTGGATGTGAGACAACATAGCACGTACCTGCAATAATCCCCCGGTCATCACGTAGGTGGCGCACTCTCATTACACACACAGTCGGGACGTCACTGTTGTTATGTTCACCCGCTGGGCCCTGCAGCGTACGCCGGTCCGGCAACAAGGACCCGCGCAAGATATGCATGATTGTCCAAGCACTGTTCCTGGACGGAGTAAGGGATTGTTGCACCCCATCATTCCCGCAGTTTTGTTGTGTTGTTGTTTGGATAACTGTGAGATGTACATCATTTGCGAGCCGAAAATGCACTCACACTGCACGGTCACGTATTCTCACATGCACACACAAGAGGTCATGATTGTTCATGTAATTGTTTATTGCCTAAGTCGGACACATAAGGACATTGTTGTGGGCCCATACCACAAGGGGCTTACATACGTCACAAACACTTGATGCCATTGTGATGTCATCACTTTCATGTTGGTGGGTTTCTCCTTGGGCTTGCTTTGGTCTGTTGTGCTGGGTTATTTCCTTCCCTGGTGCTCGCCTGGATGGCTCTTTAGTAGGGGATTGGGGATGACGTAAAAGCCTAAACACAACAGACGACTTACCACACCTCGTGCGTGTGCTGTGCGTGCAAATACGGGCAGTCAAGAAGCGAAACAAGGCCTCGGATTGGTGCCCCTAACCTGGGAGAGACCACTTCGGGTAGATCACGGAGAAAGGGGAGGTGCAGAGAGGCCTGGGAAGGGATTGGTTCGAGACAGAGAATTGAAGGGATTTGAGGAAAGATCCAAACGCAAAGGGCGGGAAACTAAGTTTGTCTGAAAGAAGAACGGTTGAGAATCCATTCGAGAAGGAAGGCCGAGGATTGGCTTTAGAAAGTAAGTCAGGGAACCGTCGAGAAAGGGGGGCTCGAGGGATATTAAAGGGGGGAGCTCAAGGGGTGGGGATGCTTGTAGAGAAGAACACTGTGCTTGTAGACAGTGTCCGTGTCCACAATGAAGGCTCTTAATGAATCGAAGTACGTGTTTCGGTCGTCATTACACACTTACACATACACAACTATACACACACCGATACAGAAAAAACAAAGGTTCCCCATATAGCCTTTAACAGACTGTTAGATCACCTATGAAGACTGGCACGGCACACGAAGGAGTGAGTGGCCAATATCACGCCCGGCCACCTTTGTCTCCCCAGTGGCGATGTTTACACACCACACCAGGTACCAATTTGAGGCTGAGTCGACCTAAGGGAGGCCCAAGACCGGTTCAAATAATTGTCACTGGTGTTGGCCGTCAGTGGGAATCGAATACATGTGTACACATGTATACACACACATACCCATATACATATACACATACATACACAAATATATCCACATGTGTACACACCTACACATATACACCTAAACAAATAAACCTATGTGTACACATACATACCTACACAGATAAATACACCCCTGTACACACATGCCCTGTACACATGTACACAGTTTATACGAGGACACAATACTATTCACCTGTACAGACTGCTCATATATACTCTCTGAGAATGTGACCTAAGTGTGGAAATTCCAAATTAACCTGGCGTGACCAGCCTCCCAAAGGGAAAACTTACAAGGAGGTTGATAAGTGTTAACTATGTGCAAAGTGGTATACTATTTATCTACCCTGTAAAGATGATGATGATAATCAAGAAAATTGCGGTCACGGTTGTCGGATCGTGATAAGATTGACGCCGACACAGACGTGGGCACAAGGCAGGACAGAAAGTAGGTTGTACACCATTAGCGGGGGTCTCTGGCTCCTGCCGCCCGAATCCCAACAATCCGTACTGGCTACCCGCACCATCTTCCTTGCGGACAATCTCCACCTCAGTGACGTCACTAGAGATGCCCGGAGAAAGTCGATTCTCGTCACAAGGTTACTAATATTCATTAGTTTCGGATTTACCTTTTGGTTTTAAGGACGACAGCTGTTATTTTTTACTTTCTTTTTCAAAATTTCGGATCGTGTGCAGAACGCCTCTGATCCTACCCGATTGTGTGACGTCGCCCAGTCCACCAAAGTGACGTCACACAACACCATGTGCCACGCGGTTTTTTTTTGGCGCGAAAAGTACCCGAAGGCGTGATGTAAATAAGTGACGTTTTTTTCACGTGACGTCACACTTCCGTAAGAATGCTTTTAAAAAAATCGGAAAAATCCGAACGGGCGTAGATCAGTGGCGTAGTAACTTACATTATCAGCTCGGGGGGTGCGGCGATCGGTCAGATGGGGACCCCCAATATTTGATTTGTCTCGCACGGTGGCACCGCGAGGCTGTTATACATCGCGGCCTCCCCTTTGCCCCAATCGCATCGTCGTTACGCGCACGGTCTCGAACATTTAGCGCTGCAGCGGAGCTCCGTCTTCGCACGATGCAGCCACGATAGAGCCCCGTAGTAGATCCTCTTGGCAATGTTGCGTTGCTGCTCTCATTTAATTAAAATGAAACGTGGAACGGAAATGAAAGCATTTTTACGACAGATTTTAAATAAGTGTTGGTGTGCTTTTACACTCTTGGGGGGACGTCCATAAATGACGTCACGCACCTGGGGGGGGGAGGGGTCAGACATTTGTGACGATGTGTGAAGGGGGGGGGGGGTTTGAGAAGTGTGACGTCACCTCAAAATGCGCAACTTAAAATAAATGTAGACAACACGTTCTACTTAATTAAATAGACTTTTTAATAAATGTTTTCTCCTACATCAGAGTGCTTATGGCACATTAAATACGCACTACAATGACAATAGTTTAAAGCGATTTGAAGCAGGTTTTTTTTGGGGGGGGCAGAGCTTTGTGAAGTCATATTTGAGGGGGGGGTCTGACTTTTTATGACGTCGTGTGACGAAGGGGGGGGGGGTCAAAATCGTCCAAAATCGCGTGACGTCATTAATAAACGGCCCCTTGTTAAAAAAAAAATCATGGTGGTTGGCAAGGGTGCTACCAACTCATAGCTTTGTCCCCTACGTTCGATAGGCTACTGGCCTCGATATGAATATTTTGCATACACGTGCGTCATTGTGCACGTGTTCTGTATATGTGTAATGACAGTAGAGTCAACCTCCTGTACGAGTGAACTAGTGGCCACGGGAGGTAATGAGAGGGGAGTCAGCCTGCAGTGTGAGTGGACTAGTGGTCACGGGAGGTAATGACAGGGGAGTCAGCCTGCAGTGTGAGTGGACTAGTTGCCACGGGAGGTAATGACAGGGGAGTCAGCCTGCAGTGTGAGTGGACTAGTGGCCACGGGAGGTAATGACAGGGGAGTCAGCCTGCAGTGTGAGTGGACTAGTGGCCACGGGAGGTAATGACAGAGGAGTCAGCCTGCAATGCGAGTGGACTAGTGGCCACGGGAGGTAATGACAGGGGAGTCAGCCTGCAGTGTGAGTGGACTAGTGGCCACGGGAGGTAATGACAGGAGAGTCAGCCTGCAGTGTGAGTGGACTAGTGGCCACAGGAGGTAATGACAGAGGAGTCAGCCTGCAATGCGAGTGGACTAGTGGCCACGGGAGGTAATGACAGAGGAGTCAGCCTGCAGTGTGAGTGGACTAGTGGCCACGGGAGGTAATGACAGAGGAGTCAGCCTGCAATGCGAGTGGACTAGTGGCCACGGGAGGTAATGACAGGGGAGTCAGCCTGCAGTGTGAGTGGACTAGTGGCCACGGGAGGTAATGACAGGAGAGTCAGCCTGCAGTGTGAGTGGACTAGTGGCCACAGGAGGTAATGACAGAGGAGTCAGCCTGCAATGCGAGTGGACTAGTGGCTGCGGGAGGTAATGACAGGGGAGTCATCCTGCAGTGCGAGTGGACTAGTAGCCACGGGAGGTAATGACAGGGGAGTCAGCCTGCAGTGTGAGTGGACTAGTGGCCACGGGAGGTAATGACAGGGGAGTCAGCCTGCAGTGTGAGTGGACTAGTAGCCACGGGAGGTAATGACAGGGGAGTCAGCCTGCAGTGTGAGTGGACTAGTGGCCACAGGAGGTAATGACAGGGGAGTCAGCCTGCGGTGCGAGTGGACTGGTGGCTGCGGGAGGTAATGACAGGGGAGTCATCCTGCAGTGCGAGTGGACTAGTAGCCACGGGAGGTAATGACAGGGGAGTCAGCCTGCGGTGTGAGTGGACTGATGGCTGCGGGAATGATCGAGAATAGGAGCGTGGCCAGGTGACGGAAGATGCCGGTGGAGTCTGCTGGTCGAGCGAGCGGTCTAGAACCAGCGAGAAGGTTCGGGAATGGGGGCCTGGTCTCGGACCGTATGTAAGGGAGATCCCGCGAGAGACTCGGGGCTGTTGCAGTTCAAGTGAACGTGTCTTCAATAAAAGAAACCATCTCAAGAAAGTGTGTCAAGTCGTCATTACACATGTATTAATGTGTGAGCGTATACTCGCGTGTGATACAGCAGCTGATAACAGCTATCATTACAAATACAGCAGCAGATACAGCAGCTGATACAGCTACCACTACACAAACAGCAGCATCCAGCTGTAGCAGCAGCTGATACAGCTACCATTACACAAACAGCAGCATCCAGCTGTATCAGCAGCTGATACAGCTACCACTACACAAACAGCAGCAGCAGCTGGAGCAGGAGCTGTAGCAGGAGCTGATACAGCTACCACTACACAAACAGCAGCATCCAGCTGTAGCAGGAGCTATAGCAGGAGCTGATACAGCTACCACTGCACCAACAGGATCAGCTGTAGCAGGAGCTGTATCAGCAGCTGAACAAGCTACCACTGCACCAACAGCAGCATCAGCTGTAGCAGGAGCTGTAGCAGCAGCTGTAGCAGGAGCTGTATCAGCAGCTGATACACAAACAGCAGCATCAGCTGCAGCAGCAGCAGCTGTATTAGCGTCTCGTACAGCTGAACTGCAACACAAACCAGCCGCTGAAACAGTGGCCGGGGCCCATCTCCACCACAGCCCCTCCCCTCCCCCGATGCCCCTCCCCCCTCGCTCCGCCACCGCCCCCCCCAAACCTCCCCAAGCCCCGCCGCTAGAAATAATGAAATAAATGTCGAGAGAACGCGCGAGACGGCGGGGTCATTCGAGTACACGGGGGGGAGGGGCGGGGCGAGTGGGAGGGTGGGTGGGAGAGTGAAGCGGGGGGGGGAAGAGGAAAGGGAGAGCGGCGTGGGGAGGGGGGAGCGAGGGGGAGGGGGGAGCGAGGGGGAGGGGGGAGCGAGGGGGAGGGGGGAGCGAGGGGGAGGGGAGAGCGAGGGGGAGGGGGGGGCGAGGGGGGGGCGAGGGGGGGAGAGTAGCCAATCAGCTCGCGCGTGTGAACAGCGGGGGTAGAGGCAGACGAGATTTGACACGGGTAGCAGTGTACAGTGGCACACACGCATGCGTGTACACATCCACACGTGTATGTGTGTGTGTGTACTAATATATACACGTGTGTGTGAGAGTGTGTTGTACACGTATACACACCTACGCACGGTATACGCACAGGTGTGTGTGTGTACACCACGTGTGTATACGTACACACGTGTGTAGGTGCGTGTACACGCACAAGGTGTGCGTGTACACGCGTGTGTGAGTGTAGATGTACATCTGTTCTCACGCGTGTGTGTGTACGCGCAGGCAGGCGTGTTACACAGCTACACGCGTATACCGTTACGTACGTGTACACATATGCTCACATACCTTCACACTAACACGTGTATGCGTGTACGCATCTACACACGTATATACAGACACCTGCATACGTACGCTCACACACGCGTATACCCTCACGGCTTTATACATACAGAGCACGTGTACATATACGTACACGTGTGTGTATATGCACAATGTACGCATGTGCACACGCGCACAAATTTAAAACGTGTGCCCTTCGTTAATATACAGGACGCACATTCGATTACATTCACTCGTATACATTCATCAACAGCGACGTCACCACCGCGCTGTGCCAGGCTAGGTGCACTTCAAAGCCACGGAGAAGTGTGGCTCTAGGCACACACACACACAGACAGACGTACATACACACACACAGACAGCCGTACATACACACACACGCAGAGCACGTGTCTCCCACCCCACCCCGCCCCTCCACCCCCACCCCACCACCCCCACCCACCAATACCCCGCCCCCGTGGACCACGTGACCCTGCTTTGCTGTTTTCGAGTTTTTCCAAGTAGAGCGAACCACCCGCGAAATACCCGCGGGGGTGTCCGTAGGCCACCCCGGCGGGCGATACCATCGGCCTCGCACAACCGAGGGGTGTCACGGCCTCGTTCAAGGCAATCGACCAGTGGCGGCGCATAGCGGCTGCGGCCAGCACCGTCGCCCGCTCGAGTTAGACGCGTCCGGTGCTTTCCCCCCCGGCGCCCCTCGAGATGGGCTCGCCCGGAGCTGGTTCTGAGAACTGCGCGTCGCCACTTTCTCAGAAGGCGACGCATTCGGGGAAGAGAGAGGACCGCCCAGCGCTTCCAGGAACCCAGGTGATGTCGGGACCGTGGTGATGATGATGATGGTGGCGATGGGGGCGGCTCTGCTCACCCCACTAAGTCGGGGGGCAGTCGCTTGTGTTACCGCTCAATCCGTCCGCGTTGGGGCTTAAACGCTTTCAGGCTACCGCTTTACTGCTTTTTGAAACGCGTGATGCGTAATATCGAGTTAATTTTTTTTGTCACGGTTTAAATTGTGAAAGTTTACATTTTTATTTGTCGAGTTTTCTTACGGCCGTATCTTTAATTTTCTCGGTTGGGGTAGGTGGTGGTGGGGGTTTGTTATTGTTGGAAGACTGCAAGTTTGAGATGATGGGAGTGTGTTTGTTGGTGGATTTTCGGATCTGGCTGGGTTTGAGTTCCCTGGTTCTCCAGAATTTTTGTCGCCGCGATGTGCCCCCAAGTTGGTCTCGGCTTGGGGTGGGGGGGCTTTTCTTAAATGTCACGTAAAAAAATGTTTCCTCTCTCTCTCTCTTTAAAAAGTTTTACTCCCGTGGATATATTGACGTCTTAAATTCTCGGTTGAGTTGGTTGTGTTTGCTCTGGTCCCACCCTCCACCCCCGGTTGATGGGACCATTTGGGACGTTAGTTTGACTGTTTAGGGGTTTGAGTGTTTGGAGGGTTCTTAGCGGTGTCGGGGAAGAGTTTTTGGGGCTTTGGTGACTGTAAAGTTTACGCGAGTCTGCAGACATGGCGAGTGGGTCGGCGGGCATTGATGTGTGACGCATGTTAAAATGTCGAGGCTCTCTCCCCACACGTGTCGCACTTGCCGTATGTGTGTGTGGGTGGTGCGTGTGTGGGTGGTGTGTGTGGTGCGTGTGTGGGTTTGCCGAACGTAAGAAGATTCACGTGTTGTGTTTGATGTATGTGTTTTTGGTGGTGGTGGGATTTTGAGTTTTACAGGTGTGTGTGTGTCGTCTGTAGTTATGGGTTTTGAGAGTTATGTGGCCCGAATAATTCGCTGTCGTTATCTCGGGGGATTGGACCTTGGCTGCTGGATAGGGTGTTGAAGACTCTCTGCTTAGAGGTGTTTAGGATCTTGGTTTTAGTGGAGTTGAAGACTCTGGTTAGTGGTGTTTACCACGCTGGTTAGTGGTGTTTACCACGCTGGTTAGTGATGTTTACCACACTGGTTAGTGGTGTTTAGCACGCTGGTTAGTGGTGTTTACCACCCTGGTTAGTGGAGTTGAAGACTCTGGTTAGTGGTGTTTACCACGCTGGTTAGTGATGTTTACCACACTGGTTAGTGGTGTTTAGCACGCTGGTTAGTGGTGTTTATCACCCTGGTTAGTGGAGTTGAAGACTCTGGTTAGTGGTGTTTACCACGCTGTTTAGTGGTATTTACCACCCTGGTTAGTGGTGTTTACCACCCTGGTTTTAGTGGTGTTTACCACCCTGGTTAGTGGTGTTTACCACCCTGGTTAGTGGTGATTACCACCCTGGTTAGAGGTGTTTACCACGCTGGTTAGTGGTGTTTACCACCCTGGTTAGTGGTGTTTACCACGCTGGTTAGTGGTGTTTACCACCCTGGTTAGTGGTGTTTACCACCCTGGTTAGTGGTGATTACCACCCTGGTTAGAGGTGTTTACCACGCTGGTTAGTGGTGTTTACCACGCTGGTTAGTGGTGTTTACCACCCTGGTTAGAGGTGTTTACCACGCTGGTTAGTGGTGTTTACCACGCTGGTTAGTGGTGTTTACCACGCTGGTTAGTGGTGTTTACCACCCTGGTTAGTGGTGTTTACCACCCTGGTTAGTGGTGATTACCACCCTGGTTAGTGGTGTTTACCACCCTGGTTAGTGGTGATTACCACCCTGGTTAGAGGTGTTTACCACGCTGGTTAGTGGTGTTTACCACGCTGGTTAGAGGTGTTTACCACGCTGGTTAGTGGTGTTTACCACGCTGGTTAGTGGTGTTTACCACCCTGGTTAGTGGTGTTTACCACCCTGGTTAGTGGTGTTTACCACACTGGTTAGTGGTGTTTACCACCCTGGTTAGTGGTGTTTACCACCCTGGTTAGTGGTGATTACCACCCTGGTTAGTGGTGTTTACCACCCTGGTTAGTGGTGTTTACCACCCTGGTTAGTGGTGATGACCACCCTGGTTAGTGGTGTTTACCACCCTGGTTAGTGGTGATTATAGTTAGTGGTGTTTATGGTTGTTGTGCAGTTTTTCGTGTGTTTTATTCGCTGCGTTACGGGAGGGTTGTTGCATAACGCGGCGCGTTGGTGGTTATGTGTGTGTGTGTGGTGTGCGGGTGGTGGTGGTGTTTCGCTGCGTGGTGGCTGTGTGCGTGAGGGTTGTTGTGTGGTTATATAATGGAAAATGTCGCGTGTTATAACGGGCATATCTTGCTTGCGTGTGTGGGCGAGTCGGGGAGTGTATAGGGGAGCGCACACGCGCGTGTGTGTGTGTGTCTCTATGCAAATGTGAGTGTGACAGTCCGGGTGTAGGTGTTGGGAGTTTATTTGCGAGAGTGTAATGGGTTTGTGGGTATGAGAATGGGTTAGGGTGTGTGTATGGGTTAGGGTGTGTGTGTGTGTGTATGGGCGAGGGTGTGTGTGTATGGGTTAGGGTGTGCGTATGGGTGAGGGTGTGTGTATGGGTGAGTGTTGGTGAGGGAGGGGTGTGTGTGTGGGTGAGTGTAGGTGAGGAGGTAGGGGTGTGTGTGTGGGTGAGCGTTGGTGAGGAGGTAGGGGTGTGTGTATGGGTGAGTGTTGGTGAGGGAGGGGTGTGTGTGTGTGTGAGTGTTGGTGAGGGAGGGGTGTGTGTGTGGGTGAGTGTTGGTGAGGGAGGGGTGTGTGTGTGGGTGAGTGTAGGTGAGGAGGTAGGGGTGTGTGTGTGGGTGAGTGTTGGTGAGGGAGGGGTGTGTGTATGGGTGAGTGTTGGTGAGGTAGGGGTGTGGTGTATGGGTGAGGGTGTGTGTATGGGTGTGTATGGGTGAGTGTTGGTGAGGGAGGGGTGTGTGTGTGGGTGAGTGTTGGTGAGGAGGTAGGGGTGTGTGTGTGGGTGAGTGTTGGTGAGGAGGTAGGGGTGTGTGTGTGGGTGAGTGTTGGTGAGGAGGTAGGGGTGTGTGTGTGGGTGAGTGTTGGTGAGGAGGTAGGGGTGTGTGTGTGGGTGAGTGTTGGTGAGGAGGTAGGGGTGTGTGTGTGGGTGAGTGTTGGTGAGGAGGTAGGGGTGTGTGTGTGGGTGAGTGTTGGTGAGGAGGGAGGGGTGTGTGTGTGGGTGAGTGTTGGTGAGGAGGGAGTGAGGGGTGTGTGTGTGGGTGAGTGTCGGTGAGGAGGGAGTGAGGGGTGGTGGGTGCGTGTGTGTGTGTGGGTGAGTGTTGGTGAGGAAGGAGTGAGGGGTGTGTGTGTGGGTGAGTGTAGGTGAGGAGGTAGGGGTGTGTGTGTGGGTGAGTGTTGGTGAGGTAGGGGTGTGTGTGTGGGTGAGTGTTGGTGAGGTAGGGGTGTGTGTGTGGGTGAGTGTAGGTGAGGAGGGAGTGAGGGGTGTGTGTGGGTGAGTGTAGGTGAGAAGGGAGGGGTGTGTGTGTGGGTGAGTGTCGGTGAGGAGGGAGTGAGGGGTGTGTGTGGGTGAGTGTAGGTGAGGAGGGAGTGAGGGGTGTGTGTGGGTGAGTGTAGGTGAGAAGGGAGGGGTGTGTGTGTGGGTGAGTGTCGGTGAGGAGGGAGTGAGGGGTGTGTGTGGGTGAGTGTCGGTGAGGAGGGAGTGAGGGGTGTGTATGGGTGAGTGTCGGTGAGGGGTGTGTGTGGGTGCGTGACTTGGCTCTGGGTGCTTGTGGACGCGATGTCTCCTGCCAGGTGACGTCAGCGCGCGCGCGCGGATTCCGCGGCGCGCGCGACAGGGTCACAGTGACACAGACAGTGGGGGGGGGGGGGGGGTGACGCGGGGGGGTGACGCGGGGTGGGTGACGCGGGGGGTGACGCGGGATGGGAGAGAGAGCGACACGAAGGGAGACACGGGGGGAGACACGGGGGGAGACACGAAGGGAGACACGGGTGGAGACACGGGGGGAGACACGATGGGAGACACGAAGGGAGACACGAAGGGAGACATGAAGGGAGACACGGGTGGAGACACGATGGGAGACACGATGGGAGACACGGGGGGAGACACGGGGGGAGACACGGGGGGAGACACGAAGGGAGACACGAAGGGAGACACGAAGGGAGACACGGGTGGAGACACGATGGGAGACACGAAGGGAGACACGATGGGAGACATGAAGGGAGACATGAAGGGAGACACGGGGGGAGACACGGGTGGATACACGAAGGGAGACACGAAGGGAGACGGAGTGCCACATGGATAGACACGGAGAGACGCGGTTGGCGCGAGACGCCTCTGTGTACGGTGACAGATGATGATGATGATGCACCAGAGAGGCTCGGAGTTTGCGCGGTTCGCTGTGGTGTGTGTCCCACCCTCACACCCCCCCCTCACCTCTCCCTGTCCCACCCTCACACCTCACCTCTCCCTGTCCCACCCTCACACACACCCCTCACCTCTCCCTGTCTCACCGTCACACTCCCCTCACCTCTCCCTGTCCCACCCTCACACCCCCCTCACCTCTCCCTGTCCCACCCTCACACTCCCCCCACCTCTCCCTGTCCCACCCTCACACACCCCCCTCACCTCTCCCTGTCCCACCCTCACACCCCCCCTCACCTCTCCCTGTCCCACCCTCACACACACCCCTCACCTCTCCCTGTCCCACCCTCACACCCCCCCTCACCTCTCCCTGTCCCACCCTCACACCCCCCTCACCTCTCCCTGTCCCACCCTCACACCCCCCCCTCACCTCTCCCTGTCCCACCCTCACACTCCCCTCACCTCTCCCTGTCCCACCCTCACACACACCCCTCACCTCTCCCTGTCCCACCCTCACACCCCCCTCACCTCTCCCTGTCCCACCCTCACACCCCCCTCACCTCTCCCTGTCCCACCCTCACACCCCCCCCTCACCTCTCCCTGTCCCACCCTCACACTCCCCTCAC